ACTACAAAATAGCTTTTCATTACCCACTTGTCACTACTCGCAGGCTAACTACCACACAAGTAGAAAAACAGTTGCCTCTCCCTGCCACACCAGGCTGTCACCCGGCTGATGCGGGAGGTGCGATCCACATCAGATGCAGGCACAAGCGTTCGGAAAGCGTTCGGCCGCCGGCGCCACCGAGGAAGTACGAGGTTTTTTGGAGCTATGGCACTGAGGTCCTGAAGATTCACTTCACCAATTCGGTGCTTTTGAAAATCATTTTGCGCGGATACGGTCTGTAGTGGGAGTCAAGACGCCCCGCGTCACGGGCACTTTTTCTTTTCTCGTCAAGCCAGGATCGGGATGGATCTCCGCATGGCGTACACCCGATATCCGATAGGCTGCCTGAAGGAATTCACAAATAGGCAACTAGAGACTCCTTGGCAGTGCACATAATACAGACTGTTACAGACTGTTGATTCAATCAACAAGCTACAGTCTATACATTACATGGTTGCCTCACATAGATAGCAGTCTTGAGACCGAGTGACTGGGATGGTGGCATTCTGTCGGTAAAGTGCCAAATTCAACCTAGACCGTTAAAACATTGACCTCCGCAAGCATCCCCATTCTTGAATTCCAATTCCTCTCAACATCATAGAGTATACATGTCACGGTTCCAATCCTTTCTCCCTCCCACTCCGCCATCCCAAACGGTGCCTGTCTGTGGCTTCGCCCAAAAGGCCAAGTCTTTGCCCAGAAGCGGACGGAGTGCATGAGCGACGCGGGGGACAGCGACGAGTCGGAGTGCATGACGTCCGTGGAGGCCTTGAAGGTCTTGGAAGCGCAGCTCGGAGACATCATTCTGGTCACCTGACGTGGTTCGTTCGTAGGGAAGGAGGGGATGTCCTGGGTCCGGAATCGCAGCTTGGGAGCGAAACTGTCCCTTTTTCCCTAGGAGTCGCACCCAATCAGTCACATGTGAAGACTTGAAAGAACCGATCGCCAGTTTTATGCTTGACTTATATATATATTTATATGACTGTGCCAGCAGTTCCATGTCGGAGTGTTTAATGGAAGCGACTAGGGTGCCCATGATCCACTGATTGGATGGGACTAAACACCATGCCTTTCTGACTCCTGGTGCTGTGAACTTCCTTAAAGGTCTTAGAATTGCCTTGCGTCTGTTTCCCAAAACATGGATCCGAGGCTTTGAAGTGGCCACATGGGTCGTTCTTACTGATTCTTACCATTGACTACTGAAATCGGTTATAGTTAAAATATGTTAAAATTGATGATGTTCTTACCATTGACTATACTGGAAACAATCATAGTTCAAATTGCCCTTCTAATCATTGGTTGGATTAATCATTGGTTGGATTCGGCTGAAAGTCTAGCCAGTCCTCCAAAGTCAAAGTGTTGATGCCAGCTGGGCAAGGGAGCTAGTTTGATGGTTTGCAGGTGTAGGTCAGGATCTCCCATGTCATTGGGGGCATCGAAGTCAAACGGGATCTTTTGCAGAGATCAGGAGATTCCAGGTCGGCACACGGAGGCGGGCTATTCCAGTCAGACTCGTCAAGGGTTGAGCCATGTTTGTGCCTTTGGTCACCGCTCAAAGGGTGCTAACAGGTGGTCACGGCCCTGTGTCTTGTTGTGATACGTTGGTGTTGTGTTGACCCCTTTGCCGTTGATGGGGCGCCCCCCATCAACGGCGAGCCGATGTGCGACGTGAGGAAAGTGACTCGCAAAGCCATCTACAGAATGTGCCTCAACAGAGGGTTGCAATGCGATCACGAGCCCAAGCAGAAAGCCAAGGGACCAAAGTCCTCTATGAAGGCGAAGGCCAGTGAAAGCCCCCTGGCTGGGTGGTCCAGATAAGAAGATATATGAAGCATTAAGAAGCTAAGATGAACGGCGTGTGAAGATGAGGTCGAAGAGGCCACTATAGAGGCTGTTCTTCTCGCGTTTATCGAGGAGGGTTTCCTTTTCCCAGTGGATGCCCATCTGGTCCGGATTGTCGCTCGATGTCATCGACTGCGAGTCTTACAATGTTACAAATCCCGCTATACCAGCTATAGGCTATAGGTTTTCGTTTTTTTGTTACACCGCGGCCAGGGTGAAATTGGTTCAACTGCTGCAGGGCCACCACATCCCACACGGTGTGATGATGACAATAACATGTGACAATTTTAGAAATTCGGCCATATGAGCACGCCCTGATTGAGAGAACAAATCCAGTGGTCGGCAGGCATGTAAGATTTGCGACACCAGAGTTCGCCAGAAGTTTGGCAAGTTCTGCACCCAGTGCGATCAGGATGCTTGGCACCGCAACGGTGGGATCGTCCGCCTAGAGATTAGAACCATCGCACGTTGGTGGAGATGCAAACCTCCACGCTCCAGTGTACACGAGCCCAACACCGACCAGTCGGTTTGGATTGGGGAATCTTCAGATGTGGCCCCCCTCACTGAAGAGGTTATTTTTGGCGGAACACTGACGAGAGCGAACCCAGTGAACCCTGGATTCAATCAGTGAAGAAAGATGTAAGTGAAACGTGTCCGAAGACATGTTCAAGTCCTCAATGCTATGGCTTGTTTGGTTGTGAGAGGAGCGAAGTACATGTCGCAATATGTAGCATATAGGCAGATATAGGGCAACTATCTTATGGAAGAGTCATTCAATCCTTGGCTGCTTCGGATCAGGTCCTCTGGGGTTCTGATGGTGGATTCGCGTACGTCCGAGCTTGTTCAGGAACATGACACGCAAGATATGGCCATGCAAGTGGTTGCCAGCATGGGTGGTGGTCCTGAACTTAGTGATGTGCTTTCTTGTAAAAATATGTTTCAGAGTCCAATGCTTCAGATGATCCCTGGGGCATTGCAGATCAATTCATCCAACAGACCAGAAATCCCGTGGTGTTGCTGTGAAGATGCCTTCGGCCGCCCAGCACCTGGATGAAGCATCAGGCATGATCGGAAATGCTGGACGCAATGGCCGAAACAAAGATGCCTTCGGCCGATGCCAGAGCAACTCCGACTGTTGGGTGAAGTCCTCAGATTCTGTGACCAAAGTGTAAAGGATCTTGAAGAGAGTGCAGCATCCTGGATGGCACCGTTTTCACCAATCACACACGATATGGCATACCAATTGGACTATCTAGTTCGAGACTTAGAGGATCTTAGAGGTATTCAAGTTTACTTCCCGAAACGCCAGCGGTTTTCGACGCTTCCAACGATCCGTGTCGCCTGGGCGTCTTGTTCGCGCGCGGGCTTTCGGCTCGCCTCGCCCGAGCGAATGGCTTCGGCGCGGCAGTTGCTGAACACCAAGTGCGAGGGCGACGGCGACGAGAAATCCTGCCGTTGCGAGGCGTGCCAGAAGCGAGAAGCCGAAGCGTGCGCCTCCCTGGTGTTTCCATGCCGTTTTTCCCTCGGGGATGCATAGAATTACGATGTTATTGTTCTTACTATGGTATTGACTGTCACCTAGCATGCAGCCCAGCATTTGGAGAGGGGATCTCTATTCATCTCATTCTATGACCCATGTAATGCTCATCAGTTCAATCTGGGGAATTTTGGAGTGGTCTTGACCTGCTTCCTTCGGCCTGTCGGTCCTTCGGCCTGTGCATCATTCCCGGTTCCCCGATTCCAGGTGGGCTCCTGCTTCACGCTGGTGCAGAATCCGGGAAACCCCCATGACGGAACAGACTTGCTTCCGGTGTGTCAGGTCGGTCGACTGGGCCGAATTCGCCGGTGTGGGGGGAAAGCACAGGGGTAGCGTCGGTGTGGGAGGCACCCACTGGAATCATGGAGTGCCTTTCCAAGGGTGTAGATATGCGTAGATTTGATGTGTTCATGGATGGACCTGCTGTTGAAGCCAAAACCAGCGGCATGCAGTTAAACAATAAGAAGCACCAAAGGATCAAAATGGTGGGAGACACGTCTAAACACGGTCTCAAGACAGGATAGAAACATATCGATGCTGTCGATACTGTTATGTTAGCCTCATTGTGCTGGGGGCTTTTCAATCTATTTCAGGGGGCGATAGTGTTAAAGCATATATGTCAAAGTAAACTGTGGAAGGGTCAAGACGGTCAAGAGTGGAGATTTGCGGACCTATTAGTAAGGTAGCTGAGATGTCCTTGGGTGATCTTATTGGTTTCTGTTTACCCATCTTCCGTGATTGGTCAGGGGCCTCCGATTTGCTTCCAATCAGCATTTTTTGCCCCATGTCCTTTTCCAAGGTTAGTCAATGACCCATGACCTCATGGCAAAAACGTGTTCGGTCCAAGGATATGACTCTGTTGGACGGGAGTGGGGATGCAGAACTGGCACCGGTTAAGAGATGTTAAGAGACCTTTGGATGCTGAGGGACCTAGGCTGGAGGAACCAAAGGGGGCCTTTTAACCTTCAGTAAATGATAGTATAAAAGCAAAATTGCTTAATATGATGAAATATGTATTGCGTGCGGGATGTCCCATAAAATTTGGATGGCACGTGCCGAAAGGACTTCACACATTGCCCCCCAACTCGCACCACACCTGCCAGCCTTCTCAGACGGAGCATGGTGGCTGGCGAGAGATGGCTCTTAACATGAAGCGTTGGGAATCTCAGGGGGTCGAGCAAGCGAACGGTGGTGCCGAAGGCCACTTGCTGTTGAGCACTCAAACGGTTCAAGGTTCAAGTTCAAACGGAGTCAAATCAGACTCACCCATTGCTTCACATTCTTTGAGGTAGTTTCTTGACCTATCGCTACACCTTGGGCCAGATGGTTGGCAAGTTCAAGACTATGCCAAGCAAATCAGAAAGTTGAGAGGCCTTGTCCGAAAGGATGCCAAATCTTGAACGTTGGTCCATCCAATGTAAAGACTATAGGTGCCTTGGACCAGTTTCTATGCCCTCACGTGCTGCAGACACAAAAAGCCCCGCTGAGCGCAGTCGTCACTTGCTGGAACTTGTGGACACGACAAACATTGTCAGCCTTGGAAATCGGAAAAGCTTCAGTTAAACGACTCGGACGTCCCTAGGATTGATGACACCATCCGACGGCTCGATGATCATTTGGCGGATGTTTATCATGAGGTACTCGCGGGGCGGTGGCTGGGACCGGGGAAGAAGACCACGCCAATCCCAGACACAGCCAGACTCCCGGAACCATTCCAATCTAGGCATATGGCATACAATTAAGTGTTTGGGAATTGGTCAACCACAGGTGAGACAGGATTCGTCGATCGTTGCCACTGGAGCTTTGTAAGGGACACTGATTGAGCGGCTTGGTGTGGTTTCCAGTACCGTAGAGAACTAGTTGATACTATTATTTGTATCTATTTGTATTTTTATGTATTTAATATAATATACATATATATATATATTTGTGTGTTTGTGGGAGGGCCACAACCACTGTCAAAAAAGTTCTGGTCAATCTTAAAATATAATTGACTCACAGCATTTGGTCAGCTCCAGTGGAAGTATGGCCAGTTCAACAGTGGAGAAATGTTTCCATTCCAGATCAAGCAGTTTCCGTAACACTCTGACAAGCTAGGCCCCTTTTCACAAGAAAACGCATATGTGCAAGGTCATGAGGTGTTTGCTGATCATTAGTCAACAGTTGACCATAGAGATGGTCAACCACCCGGAATCAGAACACAGCACAGCAACACCAAAAGTAGACGGAACATAGCAGAACAGTAGATCAGTTCAGAGGTGTGGCAGTGGTTGGGCGTTGTTTCATTTTTCTTGTTGGCCGCAAGACTCAAGACCAGCCCGGGTACTTCACCTGCTTTTTGACTGCTTCAGGTGGACTGCACGCGGATTGCCCTGGACCCGCGGTTCAAGAACATGGAGGGTTCCATTGGCACGGGTCCCAAACAAGGTCACAAGGTGAGGGAAAGAATGTCCATGAAGAAAGCAAACAATCAAACAGTACAAGTGTTCGTATGTTTTCAGTGCACGTATACCTACTGTACTATATATATATATAACTATGATATAACTGTATATATATATAATAACCACGTTGTTGTTCTCACTTCAACAGAAAAACACACTGACATTGCAGACTGTTCAGACTTTTTGTTGTTCAAGAAGCCCCTGCCTTATCTAGCAGAAAGGAGTTCCCTTCTGTACTCTTTTGAGCTCGAGGCGCTGTGTACTACAACTTTCCTCATGCTGGAGCTGCTTGGGTTCGGCTCTCAGATGCTCTCAGCATTCTTTTTGCTCGCCTGACACGTCGGCGGCAGGATGCCACGTTGGCATCGATGGATCCCACGGTGCGAAAGTTGAAGTCCCCCAGTGTGTTGCACAGTGGTCAATGAGAGTCCTTTCCTAGAGCATATTGGCAACGGAATACTCCCAATATTTTGGCCTGAATATGTGCGACCTGTTCCTGAAACCCGTTGGTCAAGTTGGGACCGCCTTACGATCTCACTCGATCTCAAAATCTGCGGGAATAGATTGATTTATAATTGATGTGTATATATATATATTATATATATATATAGTGAACAGGCTGAAATTTATCTTTTGGACCGACGATCGTCGCCGTGGCGAGTACTGATGTCATGATGTGTGGCAATGAGGTGGATCTTCAGCCCGGTCAAGGGCATGTCACTGGCTTTTATGAGACTTGGGAACCACCATTCGTTGACTGGAGTGGGAAATCAGATGTCGCCAAAGATGAGGGCTTGGCAGTGCGACATCTGAGAGGCCAAAGCTTTTGGGGGGTTTGGCGATCCAATGGATGTTAGCGCGGCCAGTGACACCACAACAACCATGGAACTGGAGCACATCATCTAATCTAAACCCAACCTCCAGAAATGAATGCAGTGTTTCATCGCAAGGACCGCATGAACAAGTTGGTTTGACTGAAAGGTTTTTGGGCATGCAGCAGTCATTTGTGCAGATTTCTCGCAAGATCCTTTGGCCAGGACCCCCAGCCCTTCACTGGGCTGGGCCTAAAAGACCGACTGCTGGGTGAAGTAACCATTTTACACAATTTTCATTTTCTGCCCTATATAGCTCGGGGATTTCTCAACAAAAGACAAAGCAAGCGGCAGATCCAACAATCAAACCTAGAATCTTCCAATCACTCAGGTTCAGCCATCCAACTGATAGCTGAGGACAGCCATCCCATCGTGAACTGGCGCCATGAAAACCTCATGCGCTTGTTTCTCGGCTGGGAAGTTGAGCTAGCATCGTGTTTTGCGCATTTTCTACTGAGAAGCACGGCTGACGGCAATCTGAAAACTGATAGCTAATTAATAGCGACCGATTTCTATACGTAACTACGTGACAGCTGTTTGGACATGCCTCTGGAATTACCACCACGTTGTGGATCTTGAAGATTTTTGAAGATCATTGTTGAGTGGGTGTCGAGTCTCGAAGTTCAGATTTTGTATCAGATTGGAGGCCATCACTACTAGGAGGCCATCGCTACTAGGTTGGAGGCCATCGCTAGTATGAAGGCCTCAAGGACACTACAGGGATATTGCAATTGCTGTGCAAAGGTCCCACGCAGAACTCTCCAACAAAGATCGTGCAATATATTTTCTAGATCTAACATTTTTTGCAGACACCCATTCAGTCAGAGATCTTGCAGAGACCCTTCAAAAAGACCTTCCGCGGAGAAGCTAAAGAGGTCTTGTAGAGGCCAGAAATGGTGGAGGAATGCATGCATAGGCTTTATGGAAGGAGATTCTTGCAACTTGCAACGTATTTTTACAAGGACCTTTCAGAGCTCCGCAGCATGTTTTTGATAGAGATGTTCTACAGGTCCCATGAAAAGAATTCTCGTAGAGATCATTGCGTACGGAGTTCTAATCTGGTAAGAGATCTTGCACGAAGATTTAGCGTCCCAAGAAGATCCTTTGCGGATTGGTTTTTGAGGTTCTTCCGGAATCTCCGATACTTTGTGAAGCCCCGCGGTCTCGTCAAAATCGCTTCCAACATGGGCGCGGTGGGCGTGCGCTTCTCATACATCATGGGCTCCTTGGATTAGTTATGTCATGTAGAAAGTTCTTAGAGTATTAAAGCCTTTCTTTTCTATTGGTAGCGCATTGGCCCGAAGTAACCTTTGATCTTTATGTTTGTGCAAGCTTGCTGTTGATTTGTGTTTGCATTGCTTGATGTTATCCAGGATCAGCTGAGCAGAATGAATTCCAGTGCCTTGGAGTAGCTGTGGTACGGCTGTAGCTTCAGTACGGAGGGGCTCCACTGGCACCACTTGGTACAACACCGGAGGAGTGGACAGCACTTTACAGTTCCGGAGGAGTGGGGTTTCCTTTTCAATTCGACTGCATCATTTGAAGACGGATGCGAGAAACCGACTTCAACAAGTTGATTCTGCAATGACAGAGTGCAATGAGTGCCCCTCCAAAACTTCAAGGATGAAGAGCTGGGCTGGTGGGGGGGTAATGCTTCTGATTGGACGTTGGGTAGATCATTTCATGAACGAAGGCCACCAAACAAGTTGACGTTGCATGGTCTGAGCTAGCTCCAACATCGAGATTTGACTTTCTGTACTCTACATCAGTTCGGAGTATATAGGCGGAGGAAGCGCTTGGACCAAGCTCGAGGTGGACCCAATCCTTCACTCATTGTGCCCCTCGTTTTGCACCTGAGCGATCCATAGGGATCCATCAATGCTAAGGTGGGTAGGTGGTTGGGTGGGCTCTCCTTCACCACCTTGGGACTCAGACACCAAGGGCAGTGGCCTTTCACCCAAGGCACGTGGAAACCTTGCCCTTCTTGGAATGGTCGTGGAGGCCTCAGCTAGTAGTCAAGCGCCAGTACCAGGCTGTGTGGTGAACTGAGAAGAGTATTCACTTGGCAATTATACATGAAGACTCGAACAACAGACAGAAACAGACCGCCCGGAGTGCATCGCCCAAGAACACAGAGGCCGCGCAGGAACAGAAAACACCACCTGGCCTGGAACTCTCCAAATTTGCAATATTTTGGCAGCTCCCATATTAGGTCTCTCAGCTCTCCTTCAAACAGACCGACGCTTTTTCACACACATGGCGTTAAGGCTGCACCGCTATGGCCGCGCCTACGGCGATCGCCGCGACAAGAAGAAGCGGCCAGGGGATGGTCAAGGCGAGGTCGGGCGGGGTGGAAGCATGGAGCATCCTGCAGGGCTCACGGAGCATCCTGTTTGGGTTTCCCAACATGGGATGGAGAATGTCTGAAGGCTGCCTGAGCATGGAGGAGCATCCGACCATCTGGGTGTCCTGTCTGGAGATCCTATGTATACATGTGTATAATTGTGTATACATTTGTAGGGTAGTCCCGGACACTCAGACAGGATGGTCCTGTTTTTTTGGTGTCCTCGTTTGTGTCCCATTAAGACAGCGAGGCTACAATGCGCAGAAGGCGGAGTCCGACATGGTCTACACCTTCGAGCATCGTCCTAAGATCGAGGTCGAGCATGGTCTTAGGTCCAATTCGACATGACGACACCATGGATAGCCACTCCGGGCGGAGACGTCGTTTTTATGCAGCAGCCACGCGCCTTTCAGTGGTTGCTTGGAGTGACGTTCCCGGCAGCCGCAGATCCAACGTCTCAGGGATCGATCCGGCGTCTCTGGGATCGGCGTCTCTGGGATCTCAGGTATCGACCCTCTGGGAAAGAGCTGCCGCCCCAGGAGATCAAGCTACCACCGACCTTCCAAACGATCATGGGTCCTTCAGCTGCAGTGGAGCTGGGATTCCAAATGTGGTGCCCAGGGCCTTCTTTTTGGATTGTTGGGGGTCGTTTGACAGGTTGAGACTTTGAAAGATTCGAAGGTATTCCAATTTAGCGGCTTGGAAAGGTTCCTGTGTGGACTTTCTTTTGCACGCAACCAATGTGGTTGCACCAGTAGGGGCCCCAAGGCCAGACTCCCGGTTCAGAAGATCAGTCAGAAGATCAACGAAAGAAACACGGTAGTAAACGCGGCTGTTTGGCAGGTGCATGTCCAATTTTTCGACTGCGAAAACCCGCATCAACCATGTAGGAGCCGCCTTGAACAGAGAACAGTGTTGCTCCAGTGGTTGAGGTTGCAACGACGGGCCTTTCAAGAACTTGGACCACAATTCCAGTGTGGCATTGGCCAGGCTCACGGCAGACATTCAACCTTCCCTGCACTTTTGGGCGTCCAGTCCACCTCAGGGTGGAAAGCCATGAAACACATGAAAGTCCTGTTTCGGGCAGAGTCAGTAAATGTTTTTACGATGGGTGACTGCAAGTGAGCCACATCGAGCACTGCCGCAGGCAGCTCCACGAACGATTCATCAAAGAGGTCTCTGGAACTCATGTGGGTTAGCTGCGTGGCATGCACAGACAGAAACCAAAGATGTAAAAGTCCCACATTGCTTGAAGTGTAACATTGCGATTGTGAGTGTTCACCAAATGTAGTGATGCGGCTGCTTGCTGAGGTTTGTTTGCCTGTGCCGATGCTGCGCAAAATGTACGGAAGATTTGTTTGCCAGGCAAAAAGAGGACAAACAAATATGGTTGATTGATCAATATTTGGCGAAGGGGGGGGGCAAGGCGGGACAACAATTATAATTCCAAAATTTGGATGCAATCATGCCGCTTTGGGCGTTTTGGTTCAAGCTTCACTTGCAGCATTACGGTAGACAACAAGCACAAAACATGGCCGACCAGCTGTCCGTGCCCCAGTGTTTTCTCTTTGCATCGGTGTTCAGGTTCGATCAATGTTGTGGAACATGCGAAAATTGATGAAAATGGTCATCCAAGGGGCCAGTGTCAACGATTGTCCGAGTGCATTTTCATCTCACTTTTACCGTGACCTCATCGTGATTCCGTAGACCGGCATGGAACGGTTCAATCTTCGATGTGTTGCTTTGCATTGGGTTTTGTTCATTGCCAACCCATCAATCAAACCGTGTTGCACACTGGACCCATTAGGTCTGAGGAACAAATCGCGGAGTTTCTGGAAGCTTGGGAACTTTGTGGTAGAGAGCGGACGCAGGAGCAGACCGTCTCAGTCAAGCGGTTTCAAGGAGTTTCAGTGTTTCCGCGGCACCCAGCTTGGCGGATGCTGATGTGGTGAAATGTTTCTGTTTGCCAGGAAGAGATGGAAGAACTTGAGGAGTGGAAGGCCTTGCCAGTTTGGAAGTGTGAACATGATGGGGAATACAGTGGCGTTGGTCATGCTGGGAGGGGACACAAAGCGCAACATATTTTGTACGCGTAAGGGTTGATTGATGTTGATTGATTTCAAGAATTCGCTCAGCACATGTCGTGTTGTTTTCCAATGCGTCCACATGCGCAACAACCGCAAAGACAAACCTTGGGCAGTTACTTCTCCCAGACAGAAAGCATCCACGAATGAGCTAAACTTTAGCTGCTAAAGCAGTCATTGCTTGTTGTTGCACGTTTGCTCCACACCAGAGTCTATAGTATTCTATGGATTGTGAGCCAATAGGACTTTCATTACAATTGCCAGAACACACCACTAAAACGTCTCAAGTGACAAGTAATTCCAGACATTATGTGCACATTATCACATTACGTCAAACATACCGGTCCATTGATCCTTAAAATATATATTCATTGATCCTTAAAAATAGGTTGTTGCAGCGCAAGATTCACAAGAGGATGTACAAGAGGAAGGAACAGGTCGTGATGTTTTAGCATGCCTATGCATACCGAGATTATCAGTGCATGTTTGTACTTTTATGTGTTTTCCTTTTTTTGCGTTGCATTGTTTACATGTAGAAGTTATGTTGTTTTTGTTTGCCAACTTTGTGATACCTTGATTTGTTGAAGAGACTCCTTGAGGCACGTTGCGACCAGCTTCGCATGGCTTGGAGCGAGGAGGATGCGACCGTGCAGGCGCTACGAGGCGCACGAGGTCATGGCGCAGCATTGCTGGGAGAATCTGAGGATGACTGGGGAAGTCGGATGTGTTCACCATGGGTGGTCATAGTGTTCACCATATTTGTTGATTGTTGATGAATCATCACAGCAATTACCTGGATAGAAAACATCTCCATATATGGGCAGTTATATAGTGTTATATAATAGTCTTATCCACAGTCAACATTTTGGTGTTGTTTGAACTTTATCATGCCACATCATCCCACTTTGGGAAGGGAGATCCTCAGTTGGCTAGTTATGTTTTTGCATGCTTTGAATCACATCACGGTCGCTCGCAGATCTTAAGATGAAATGACCTCAATAGAAGGCCGGGGATTGACGAAATGACCAGCAGAAGGACGGGAAGTCCTTATGTTTCCTTAAGAGGCTGGATGAACCTCCCGAATCCTCCCTGCAGAAGTTGGATGAAGCTGGAGACCTTCGTTTTTGAATATATCAGAAAAAGAACTCCGGTCAGCTGACTGCAGATCACAACAGGTCAACAAAAAGAGCAAGATTTTGGTGTACTGTGATTTGTGTTTTTACTCACAGAGGTCACGAGAGTTGCACTGATTGCGTTCGAAAGCACTGCTGCTTGGGCTAGCCACTTCTCCAGTGACCCGGTCTTTGGTCACCCGTCGGTGCTCACTGCTGTTTCGTTACCCGCGATGTTCCAGGATGGCCCAGTCTTAGCACCATTGGTGTCGATGGAGGTGGAGCTGGAGGCTTCGGGGTGATGTCTTTTTGGTCTCTGAAACCTGCTCCAGGATGGCCACCTGGCTGATCACGTCAAGTGACATGTGACATGAATCCTCGAACATCCTCAAAACACTTTGGTTGCCAGATCCTGGACATTGCAGTGCTGGCCCGCTTCAGCCAGTGTTTCGTGAATCCTACGGAGGTGCTACTGGGCAAATGGAGAGAGAAGAAAGTGAAGTCAACATAGTGTGATTAGCGTCATCTGTGGACATTGACGTGATACTGATAGGTATATGGGAGTTGATCGAAAACCCCGTGTAAGGAGTTTTATATAAAACAGCCTTTCAGATGTTGTTAGAACCATCCGCGAAAGATTCGAGATGAGGTTCGCGAAAGTATTTTTTTTTTCCGCGAAAGATTTATCGAAGGTCATCGCTTTCATTGTTTTCCTTTCTACCGGACTGACAAAGAATAGAAACGCAAGGCAATCCTCCGGCAGAGCCAGTGGGCGAAGTGTCCCCATGTCACAGACTAACGAACTGAAGCCTCAACCTTTCCGTGCCCAGCCCTGGCAGTGCGTAAAGGATTCTCCGATTCCTGTCCCCACTGTCACATACTAGCAAGCTGGGTAGGCGCAGCCCTGACAGTGAGGCAACGACCTGCCGCTGCTCTGACGGGCTGTGCAGATGTTTGCAAATGTTACAGCGTCCCGGGGAAAGCACCAGTGAAATTTCGCGAAAGATCCGCGAAAGCTTCGCGAATGTGCCGCTAAAGTCTAGGTTCCCAGCTTGAGGCCCCCAACATTCCCCAAGCTGCATCACCCTGTTGGTAGCTGACACGAGGATTGGGTTGAGTTGTGCCTGACTCTATTTGGCACAATTGTCGCACAGATGCTGCAAGTGACCCTGAGTAGCTGTGGAAGCGTTCAACCATCTACTGGGGTCATGCTGCAAGATGTCTCTCCCTATTATGACATGTTCCGGCTCATGTTAGCTAGACATGCTTGTAGGACCATGCTTCGCGATGAGGCCGCGAAAGATATTTTTTTTTCCGCGATGAATGGCCATTCCAGGATGAAAGAATATTGATCAACCACCATATATATATATATATTATAAGTGTATATATAATATATAATATATATATATATATATTATACAAACACAGCTGCAAAACAAGTTGGTGTTCAATGAACCTTTGCAAATACAGGTCATGTCGTCCAACTGGTGTTACGAAAATGGCGAGACACATTTAAGATCATTTAAGCAGGAACCAGCACCAGCGCCAGAATATTGTATAGTCTTACAAGGAATCCGTGCCTTCCATATTGAGGGTGATAGAGGGATATAGGCGGGTAATGAGAATCCAACTAGGATGGACCTCTATCATCCTCGACCTCATTGAGGCTTGGGGTACCTCACGTCAGGTGGTGTTGGAGGTGACTTATGCCTTCCCAGTCCTGCCCAGCGCCAGCGTCACCGGCTTGGACGCGCAGATCGGCGCACGCCACGTTGTGCCTTGGTTTCGATGACGAAACATGTGCAGATTTGATCTGATTGTTACGCAATCCAGGATCAAAATAGATATCGAATACAACGGAATACCATATTCCGATCTCTAAACACAGTTGCCAGTCATTTTCAATAGATTCCCAGAGATCCCCGCATCCAATTCCAGGTTGGCCGTGTTTTGGAGAAGCAAGAGGCGAGGCAGGAGTTTCAGAGTGCCAAGGCCGAGAGGAAGGTGGGGCGGCTCCGGGGTCTGGACCACGCCGGGGCTGAGCTGAGTTCGGTCCAGTCGGTGGTTCCAAACTGCTCAGTGGGTGAGTGGAGATGTCACCGGTGGCCCCTCTTTTCATTGCCTTAACCATTATGTCAAGTGACCAGACGGTTCTCGCGGTTGTGTTGTTCTTTTTGCATCTTTTAGAATTCTTTTTGACATGTTCTATACGGTACCTGGATTGCTAGCTTACTTGACATCAGAATTGATGTCAAGATCGACAAAATTGAGAAAGCTGCGGTTCTGAACCTTTGGCCTGAGTGGACATACTACGACCTTCCAGAGGGATGTTCAATGGAATCCTGTTTAGTGGGGTATAACTACTCAGGTTGGTTAAGCCACCCTCAATAGCTGGTCCACAACATGTTTACCATTCCAACTAGTCCTTTGTTCATTTCTGTTTTGTTATTGTCGCTGTCGGTGGCATTGTCGTCGCTGTCGTCGTCGGTTCATGATGTCAAAATGGTTTTAACTAACTGATGAAGCTCGATCCAGAACCACTCATTGCCAGCTTACAGTGTACCTGGACCTTCCACGGGTGTGTTACTTATGAAGACCCAGGTATAGATGCGTCATAGACACCTTGGTCTTCTGACTCGATCCACAGACGCGCACGCAGTTCCCATGACTTCCGCGCCACACGCGGCGCCAGGCGGCGGTGCTCTTGGAGAAGGCCTCCGGCGATCTCATGAGGCGTCCGCAGACAGCACAGGGTACGTTGGTGATGCCGGGAGCACCGCACCGCACCAAGGGTAGCGACATGTGTCGTTGTTCGTTTTTTTCGTTGTCGCGTGGCTGAAAGAAAGAGAACCACGAATGGGATCATAGGCATCATAGGATTTCTGCAGGTCATCCTTTTGGTTTCGTGTCTTTTAGGGAGTTATGGACTATCAGGCGGTTTCTAGCATAATGTCGCTGCCACTGACAGGGGCCAGCACATTTCCATGGCATTGTCTTCGAGAGTGTCGTTTTCGCGGTGATGGGTCGTGGCCAGTCATGGCCTGATGGCACAAATGGATTTGGTGTCCAAGCCCCTTGAAAAAAAGCCAACTGGATGGGGGTCAACCTGCAGGTTGCCTTTAGTTTCACCACAAAGTTGAGGCTTGCCGGATCCGGTAAATTCTGACATCCCTTCCCAGATGGTGCGACCCGCCCGCCTGCA